CAGTTCGTGCAGGTGCTCTGGTTGCACCACGTGGTCTGGCTCGGCCTCTGCCCCGACCCCGGCCTCTTGCGGCTCCAACAGGGGGTGCGGGTGTCTGATCATCAAATCCAGTTGTGCGTGTCCTCGCCATCTGTGAGAGAATAGAAAGACAATTGTTTAGAACTTTGAAATCAACAAAGGCGCACGATAAGGAATCAAAGAAGTGAATATTTCCTAACAGTTCCATAGCCTCTCGAAGATAAGTACAGACGTCTCCGTACCGAACCGCAAGACTCTATTAAACCTGCTTGTGACTCATAATACCTATGAACCTAGTGCTCTGATACCAACTTGTCACAGCCCCAAATTCCCTCCGTAGGATGTCGTGATGGCACCTAGTCTCTAAGACTAGGTAAGCCTATCAATGCGAAATAATCATAAATATCTGAAAATAAATAAACTACAATTCAAATAAGTCACAAACTTCTAAGAATTTATTCTCAATGTCTCTATATATCAAGGTCTAAATAAAATATAAGGAGGCAACATAAAATGATAGAAGGGGACTCCGGAGTCTGCGAACGCTGGCAGATATACCTCGAAGTCTCCGTGCGCAGGTAACTCACTGACGTCTAGGCTGGTAAGATGTACCTGGATCTGCACAAAAAGATGTGCAGAAGCGTAGTATGAGTACACCACAGCGGTACCCAGTAAGTCCCAAGCCTAACCTCGGTAGAGTAGTGACGAGGCCAGGTGAGGCCCTACTGGAATGTAATAATGGCATGGTAAAATGTTTAACAATATAGTAAAATAAAATGACATTGGAAATGAATCAAATAGTATGTCACATTTAATGACACCAAATAATTGCAAATAATATCTCGTGGAATCAAAACAGAATTTCCTTCAACTTTATGAAAATCACAACAATTAATTGAAGGCAACTATGGCCATAAATCAATATCAACAAGGGCACTACCGAGGTACCGCCTCGTAGTCCCAAATTATAAATAATTTCACAATATCCCATTTTCTTATATCACCGCGGGAGCCTTCACGATTTATTTTTAAAAAATATTTTTTTTGAAATAGCATCCCGCGTTTTAGCCACCCTTATTATACCGCATGACTTCTAGTAGTCACCCCTACTAGCCACGCGTATCAAGCCACCCTTATCTCAGCGCATGCGTTTCAATACCCAGACTTTATACCACCGCATGCGTATTAATATTACAATATATCGCAATGTGCACCTCAAGTGCCCAATATTTCAATTTTCCACAATAAATCAACAACAATATTTTTCAATAATAAAGAGCTCACGGCTCATGCCAGAATAATCCAACAATAATATTTTTTTTCCACAATAAAGAGCTCACGGCTCCATCACAATGAGTACCAAAAAAAATCTTACGAAAATATTCAAGAATAAATAATTCAGAAAAATAATATTTCAAATTTTTTTAATATGTTGCTTCAATATCAAATTTAAAAATGTCAAATACTTCATATTAATAATATTTAATTTAAAGAAAATCAACCTTCAAATAATGCACAGTATAAAAGAAACCAAGTTTCAATTAAACAGGTAAAACAATTAGCAGAAAAAGGTCAAGCAAATTTAAGGTATACAAATCAAATCAATAATGGAAAATATAACAAGATTTAATAATTTAATTAATATGCAACAGTGATCTTCATAATCTGAACATATAATCCTTCATATTTAGTTCGCGTACACACTCGCCACCTCATGTACATGACTTTTATCACATTACAATTAATACCAATACTAGGGAAATTTTTCCCACACAAGGTTAGACGAGTCACTTACCTCGACTTGCTCAAATTTAACCAAGTAATATGCTTTTTCCTCGATTTTTCGATTCCGGTCGACTCGTATCTAGTCATAAATAATTCGATACAGTCAACAAAAATTATAGAATAAATTCTATAAGAAAATACTACATTTTTTAAATAAAATCCGAAATTAACTCAAAAATGGCATGTGGGGCTCATGTCTCAGAATCCGACGAAAGTTACGAAATATGAACGCCCATTCAATCACGAGCCTAACCATACCAAAATGACTAAATTCCAATAACAGTTCGACCCTCAAATCCTCAAATCTATCCAAGAGGGGTTTTCGCATTTTTTCCAACTTAAATCTTCAATTAATTGTTAAAAACACTGATAGATTCGGGTAATCTAACAAAGATTGAGTTAAGAACACTTACCCCAATGTTTTCTCTGAAAATCTCTCAGAAATCGCCACAATTCGAGCTCCAAATCATTAAAAATTGAAAAATGGGACGAAGTCCCATTTTCTGAACTTAAACATTTTATCCAGTGGTTTCTTCTTCGCGAACGCAACCCTTGCCTCGCGTTCGCGAAGCGCAAAAATGTGCTGCCCAACTTTCCTCTTCGCGAACGCGAAGCTTTATTAACTCAGACCTTCGCGAACGCGTCCCTTATCTCGCGAACACATAGAACAAAAGACTGGGGGTTCTCAGCTGCCTCGCTCTCCTTCGCGAACGCGATGCCACTCACGCGTTCGCGATGCACACACACAGACCATACCTTCACGTTCGCGTCCTCCCCTTCGCGAACGCGAAGAACAAAACCTCACACTAGAAAACACACTTCGCGAACGCGTCCTACTCGTCGCGTTCGCGATGCTTTCACTGACCACACCTTCGCGAACGCGAAGAACAAACTTTTGCAACAAAAACCAAAAAAAATCTGCTACTTCTCTAAGTCCAAAAATGACCCGTTGAGCATCCGAAACACACCCGAGGCCCCCGGGATTTCAACCAAACATACCAACAATTCCTAAAATACCATACGAACTTAGTCGAATCTTCAAATCACATCCAACAATACTAAAAAACACGAATCACACATAGATTCAAGCCTAATGAATTGAAACTTTCAATTTCTACAAACAACACCGGAACCTATCAAATCAAGTCCGATTGACCTCAAATTTTGTACGCAAGTCATAAATGACATAACAGAGCTATGCAAATTTTCAGAATCGCATTTCGACCCCGATATCAAAAAGTCAACCCCTCGGTCAAACTTCCCAAAAAATTAACTTTCGGCATTTCAAGCCTAATTCCACTACGGGCTTCCAAATAAAATTTCGATCAGGCTCCTAAGTCCAAAATTACCATATGGAGCTGTTGGAATCATCAAAATTCTATTCTGGGGTCATTTGCACATAATTCAACATCCGGTCACTATTTGAACTTAAACTTTAAATATTTTTATCAAAATTTCATATCTCGGGTTAGGGACCTCAAAATTTGATTTCGGGTATACGTCCAAATCCCAATTCACGATACGGACCTACCAAAACTGTCAAAATACTGATCCGAGTCTGTTTGCTCAAAACGTTGACCAAAGTCAACTCAATTGTGTTTTAAACATCTAATTCACATTTTAATCCATTTTTTCACCTGAAAACTTTCCGAAAAAATTTTACGGACTGCGCACGCAAGTCGAGTAATGATAAATAATGCTTAGATCACAGAATTAATCATTAAATTTAAAGATGATATTTTGGGTCATCACATGTTTTGATGGATTATTTCACTATATTTCAAACTTTGCTTCCGCATTTGTTTTCTTGTTATTAATAAATTTAAAAATTATTTTAAAAATAGTTAATATTATTCAAACGTTGGCTTGCCTAGTAAGTGAAATGTTAGGCCCATCACGGTCCGAAGGTGGGAATTTCGGGTCGTGACAGGAGTAGTACTTACGATTTTCTAAAAAGTCGTATACTCACTGACTTAGATAAACGCGCAAAGCGCGTACCATAAGACTAATAAAAAATAAGCAGAAATGTCATTATATTGCTAACTCTCATGCGTTATGACCTTTTAAATTCTTAAACGTTAAGACCTTTCCATCTTTTTGGAGCGGTTATGGATCCTTTTCCATGGGAAGAGATCTTTTAAAAGCTTCTTCCAAAATGGGTCTGTATACTATTATTCTCTAACTAGGGAATCCGTTCGCGCTTCGCGCGGTTTTGAAAAACTTAAATGAATTTATACAATGACTACTCTTTGTTTTGTGTATTTAGTCGAAACAGAAGAGATGGAAAGTTTCGTATATATGCATACAAAAATTGAATTCTATGAATTGATTAAATAACAAATAGTAAATATTATTTTTTCATTAGAATTAGAACAGTTCACATTGATGTTAGACAATCAAATATTTTAACATATAATCTTAGAAGTAATTAATTCTCGACAAATAACATATACTTAAAATATTTCCTTTTAAATTAAATTTCTTGTTTTTCTAAAAATTCAAAAATAAACTAAATCACAATGAATAAAAATAAAATATCAAAAGAAAATGTACCTACTCTTTCACTGAAAAATTACTAAAATGTCTTCATCCATATTATAGAATTTATTCCAGCATTAAAAATTACTACTCCACTTTGTTACCTCTTGTTGGAAATTGAAAACACTTTTCTTATTGCATTAATAAGGAATATGAAAAACTGGTATAGTAGCAGTGGATACTTTTGGGCTTTAGAATGGGAAAGGTCGAGTAGTACTAATTAAGAACTCCACCACTAAAAGCTAATTTCGACGTGTCGTTGGAAACTTGAATGGATTAGTTTTATTGCATACGCATTGATAAGAAATATGAAAAGTCAAAATAGTAATAATTAACACTCAGGCTTTATAATAGCAAAAAGGTCAGAGCAAGTATCTTTTAATTAAGAATTATGATTAGAAAAGTAATATTGATTAATAATTGTATTAATACAAAATAGGAGAAAAGGCACACAGAAAAAGGAGGAAAAAGATAAATAACATTTTAATCTTTCCAAATTCCACTTTGAAGCTTCCATGCAATAGCTCATGAATGAAAAAATAAGAAAAATGATGGCACTATATTTCATCAAAAAATCCATCTGAAGAATAAAGTATAAATATGACTACCTTAGATAAAGAGCGAGAATCGATATACATCTAGCGAAGAGAAAACCCATAAGACAAAACAAATTTACAGTTTATTATCTTCTAACTCAACATATAGATGAACCAAGAAATGCTCCAATGTTTTGATATTTCAATCTAGTAGCTTCCTCTAACGGCAATGTGACTTAGGGCTTTTTTCATTCATAACTACATCTCAGTAGCTTTCTAATAGTTGAAATGATAACACTAAGGAGTCAAACTATCATCTTTTTCCCGTAGTCTTGCTTTTACCAGTCTGAGCTTGAGTTTTTTTCTGGCCTTTTTCCTTTTGATTTTCTCATTTGATTCAACTGTGGTAACATAAACACAAAAATCCAAATGTAAATACCATAAACTGAAAAGCAAAAAATAAATCTGACTAAATTTCATATACCTGAAAAATAAGACAAACCGAAAAAAACACCATAATATACAATAAAAAAGAGGCATAAATCTTATCGAATTTAAAATACCCACAAAATTATACACAAAGAAAAAAGTACAATTTGCAAAACAATTAGTTACCAAAAGAAATTGATAATTGTTCCAATACAAGACACAAAATATTCAAGAAATATTATAATACACAAGCAAAAGTATATCGATTAGATTTTATATACCCAATATTAGTTGTAGTAATCTAGGTACATATAGTGATTACAACGCGAAATGGAAATTAAAAAAGTTTTGTTATGTTGAGATGATGACCTTTCATTGATATATTGCACTCCATGCCAGAGGAAGATCACAACTTTTGATTGACAATCTGTAGGAATAAATATATGTGAACAGTTTCATCCCTCTAAAATTTAGTATGCTTTCCTGTTAACATAACCCGAAATATTAGGATATATATCATAAGGTGAATAGACAAAGACTTGAAGATTCAACAAAATTTATAAGAAAAACCTTACAGAAAGTTAAATAACAAAAGTTAGAAAATGAACTCTTTGCTTACCTTTTCATATCGAACAACTCCACATTAGCATGGAGAAAGATCTGAAAATATGAAATGAAACAAAACTTTAAAAAGGAAGAACATACAAAGGGCAGAACCCATTAAAACCATAATAACTATGGTGTAACCGAAAACGCAATAAAGAAATAAGGGAAAGCAAATGGTCAGCATTAATATTTCTTTAATAGACATTGTAGTCTTTTAATAAGTTGGATTGAATGAAAAGACTAAAAGAAAAAGAAAAAAATTCAAAAAAAATGAGAAAAAAGATAAATGTGTTTCTTGGCTAAAGAGATATGCCACATCATTTTTTCTAAATCCTCTTTTATATATATATAACTTCTTATTCCATGTTCTTTTATATCCTAAATTATTATTTTAATTTCTTTTCTTTTTTTGCAGTTATTCTACCGGTCATTCTACCCGTGATATGATCTTAAACAAAAAACTAAAGATGGTGATTCAGATGTTACCAAGACTTAACCTTCTCAAATGGTCATGATCTCCTCGAAAAGTAATTTTTCAACTCTACTCACTTTACCGGTACTCATGAACTTCTTCAATTAGTATATGTCTTTTATTTTTCTATTGTGTTTTTTATATGTATGTTTACCCGAAAAATGAATATAGTTGAATTTGTACGTAATTCTAAGGATACGTGGTACAATTTGGCACAAATCGGAAAGATAGGTAGAAATATATCGAATATTAACTGTAAAAAAGAATGAAGTACAAACCAAGTTGAACGGAGAATAATTTATAAACAAGCAAGATGAGTCAATATCCAAAGCTCAAAAAAGGATAACTTCTACTGTATTTCTATGTGAATATTAATAATCTTTTCAATATGGGAGTGTGTAGATGCCTCAATGCTCTTTGATCCGCCCCCTTTACAGAAGTGATAGCCATTCTTCTTATAGTGGTGAAAACTCTACTTTGGAATATAAAATACATAGTGAGTACCCCATGATAGATTAGTTAATTGGTTTTTGCTTAATTTCCACCGAGATTCTCTCACCGAAATTTAATTTGGAGGTCCCTAACTCAAGTTATGACCATTTAACGGAAACTAGAAATGTAAAGGCTAAAGATTTCAAAATTCAACCACAAATTGACTTTTATTAATATCGGGGTCGGATTTGAGTTCTGAAAATTTTTATAGGTCTGTTATGTCATTTATGACTTGTCTATCGAATTTGGTGAGAAACAGAATTGATTTGACGTGATTCGGACGCTCGGGATGCGAAAATAAAAATTTTAAAGTTTTCTTGAAAATTTCATTTGATTTGGTGTCTGATTCGTAGTTCTAGGCATTTTGTTTGCGCGAGCGAGTTTGTATGAGATTTTTGGACTTGTGTGCATATTTAGTTTGGAGCCCCGAGAGCTCGGGTGAGTTTCGGATAGCCTACGGACCTTAATTCTTTGAAAATTCTGGGTTTTGGGACTCCTGCTGGTTTCTGGTGTTATGTGCTTCGCGAACGCGAACGCGAAGAGGAATTTGGGACAGGGGAATTTTCTTTATCGCGAACGCGAAGCAATGGGGGGCCTTACCCTTCGCGAACGTGACCAGCTTCTCGCGAACACGTAGGCTTGTGATATGGGAATGGGGAATCGTTGTTTCTTCTACGCGAACGCGAAGGCCAGGGGAAAGAAGCCTTCACGAATGCGAAGGAGGACTCACGAACGCGAAAGCCACTCGGGTTGCTGCTCATCACGAACGCGAAGAAGGCCTGACGCCCAGACCTTAAAATATAACCAAAACGGGATTTTTTTCATTTTTCACAAACCCTAAATTAGAATTCGATTTAGGCCTGTGTAAGTATTCTTTATCATATAGTGATTATATTTTATAAATCTAAGTCTATATTAATTATTTATTTTGGATTTAGATGGGAGAAATTGAAATTTTTGTAAACCTTTTCAAAAAAGAAAATTTAAGATTTTAAGGTCCATTTGACATCGGAATTTAATAATATTTGTATGGTTGGACTCGTCTCGGAACTGGTATTCGGATTTCGTAAGTTTTTTTGAGATTCGAGACATGGGTCCCACTAATAATTTTTGAGATAAATTTCGGATTTTAATTCGGAAAATTAGTAAATTCATATGGAATTAATTCTTACGATTTGTATTGAGTATATTGAATTGTTTATGACTATATTTGAGGATTTCAGACACGAATTCGCGAGACAAAGGTTTATTGGATTCTTGAATTTGGTTGCAAAATGAGGTAAGTAGGGTTGTTCGTTTGGATCGGATATCCGAAATTCGAACTGATCCGTTCAATTTCGAATTTCGGATTGTGTTTATTAAAATTTCATATTTCGGATCGGATTCGGATTGGTATAATTATAATATGATCCGATCTGATTCGATCCGATCTGATCCGAAATCTAAAATTATTAGGGCGGGTATAAATACTAAACTTTTATTTCGGATAATTAGTTCCTTTACATTTTCTTCCAAGTTATTACCTTTAAAATTGATGGATTTAGCTATATTGGCATCATAGTGCTCTCATAATTGTAGAAACATGATTTTTTTTTTTTACTGTATTGCCTCTTTTATAAAGAAAATATGCATATGAGTTTGCAACTTTGAGGCATAATAATCCAATCCGAAATCCGAAAATCCGATCCGATCCAAACTTTAATATCCGATCCAATCCGATGTTAATTCGGATCGAATTCAGATTGCATTTTTTAGAATTCAAAATCCGATCCGAAATGTGCTAAATCTGATCCGATCTGATCCATGCACAGCCCTAGAGGTAAGTATCGTGGTTAACCTTGACTTGAGGGAATAGAACTCTTAAATTATTTGTTATGTGAATTTCATGTGCAACAATGTATAGGCAAGGTGACGAGTGCCTATACTTTGTCAATTTAATTATTTGTTTAATTATTTAAACATATTAAATTATTTTAAGACACGAATTAATTATTATAATAATTGTTTCTCTCACATTCCTTGTCAAATATTAATTCTTGAATTCATGTAATAATTATTACATGCTTATTTAATTTATGTGTCTTAATTTCTACTTGACATTTAGTATATTAAATATTATACTGCCTATTTTCTTCCTGATTTTCACAGTTAATTGCTACTTGTCATTGTTTGTTTCATAAATGAATTATAATTATTGTATGCTTTGATGCTTAATAGTTTCTCATTGAACATGGTATTTATTGGAGTATTTTTATTACATTTAAGAGTTGTTAAAATATACGGGGAGATCGGGTTGCACGCTGCAACGGAAATAAAAATAAATATATTGGGGGATCAGGTTGCACGCCGCAACAGAGTTGTTTAAAGTTTATATTGAGGGATCGGGTTGCACGCCGCAACAGATTTATTTAAAGTTTATATTGTTGGAGCGGGTTGCACGCCGCAACGGAAATTTATTGAGGAATTATATTGTTGGGGCGGGTTGCACGCCGTAACAGAATTAATTGAAATGAATATATTGGAGGATCGGGTTACACGCCGCAACCGAATTGAATGTGAATATATTATGGGATCGGGTTGCACGCCGCAACGGAAACTAATTGAAATAATAATTGGTTATGACTGCCAAGTTAGCTTCAATTGTTGAAAAGGGGATACCTGTTTTATTTCTCTTATTGTTGTTGTTATTATTATTGCGTACAGATTAATGTAAGTGACCTACCTTAGCCTCGTCACTACTTCGTCGAGGTTAGGCTCGGCACTTACCAGTACATGGGGTCGATTGTACTGATACTATACTCTGCACTTCTTGTGCAGATTTCGGAGTTGGTCCCAGCGGCGTACCATAGGTTTGCTCGGATTTCAGCTACCCAGAGGAGACTTGAGGTATAACTGCACAGCGTTCGCAGTTCTGAAGTCCCCGTCTACTTTATTTTAGTTGTGTGTTTGCTTTCAAACAACTTTATTTTATTCAGACCCTAATTTGTTTCATTCTAGAAGTTCGTGCACTTGTGACTCTAGTTGTGGGATGGTATTTAGATATCGCGATTATTATGGATTATTTCAGACATTATTTTCGCATTTGTTTCCTTGGTACTAATTAATTTAAAATTTTGTTAAAATGACTAATTATATTCTAACGTTGGCTTGCCTAACAAGTGAAATATTAGGCGTTATCACGGTTCCGAAGGTAAAAATTTCGAGTCGTGACAAAATATTGAGTGTGATTAAAAATTTCCCTCCTCAATATCTCAACCCATTTACTTGCATGGTAAAATTCCTAATTCTAATTGTTTCTAAAACAAATCTTATATTCCTTCCGTTTCAATTTAGATGATGTAGTTTGACTCGACACATAGTTTAAGAAAATAGAAGAAGATTTTTGAATTTTGTGATTTTAAAAGCTTAAGGGGTAAAAGCTTTGTGGGCGATAACATTTGTGTGGTTATAAAAGTTTCTCATTAAGGATAAAATGGATAAAATAAAAAGTTTAAAGTTGAATTATTTCCAATTGTAAAAATATGTCATTCTTTTTGGAACGGACTAATAAGAAAAATGTGTCATCTAAATTGAAACAAAAGGGGTAGAATTTATATGACTTTTAATTTATTTAATTTTGAAGTTTAGTGTGATAAACTTTTAATTAACATATCTAGATAACAACAACACAACTCAGTATAATCTCACAAGTGAGGTTTAGGGAGAGTAAAATGTACGCACACCTTACCTCTATCTTCAAGAAGGCAGAGATGTTGTTTCCGATCTACCCTCGGCTTAGTATAGAAAAAGGGAAGGCGATTGACATATCTAGAAACTACATAAGTTCACATAGCAATAATTAAAAATATCCAAAAGAAAATTGCGATTAAAAAAATAATGTGATGATGTAATAATTAGGATTAATAGGACCGATCAAGAAAGAAATGATGATTGTTGTAACCTAAGGGAAGGACATTGGATTTAAAAGAAAACAAATACTTTAGTTTGTAGCAACTGCTGTAATCCTTTGAGTTGTAGCCATCCTGCCTCCACTAAAACCGTCTAAAAATTGTTTGCATAACAGTGTTACATGATTATAATTTCTTTTTCCCAAAAAAAAGAAGAAGAAAAAGGGAAATTTTTGTTAGTCTA